AGAAAAAAGTAAAAGTGGAGCTGCTACAATTTCGGAAGATAATATATGGTTTGGGTATAATATGATGAAGTTTCTGGTGGAAAATAACATTTCTAGGGGCAGTCGCAGTACAATTGAGGTAGGTATCTAGTTGTTAAAAAATVGTAAAGTAGAAGTTTAAAATTGAATTTATTTTAATGACTTACTAAATCAATAAATAATATTTATATTWTAATTTATTTATTTATAATAAATGAACTAAATTGTATTATTGTAAACTTAAAAATTATTGCCATAAAAAATGTCTATATTGCGTATTGTTGTCGATGTCGTAATCGTAATATTGAGACATAACTATAAATAACTTTAAATAATTATAAACCTACAAGCAACCATTTGTGGTTTGTTCATATAATTGTGGTCATACGACGGCTGTTATTCTTATCGCACAATCATTATATACACCCATCGTGATATTAATACAAATAAAATAAGAAATAACACTAATATAAAAAKAATTTATAATAAACATTATGAAATATTTTTATTGTTAGCAAAATCATTTTTTAAACAACAAAGACTATATTTTTTACCTTATAGTGTTAAATTTTAAAATTAATTAGACGATGAAATAAGATTAACAAAATAATAAAAAACTATATTTGATTAAATTGACAATGTAATAAGAAACCATTAACTACAATAATAATCATAGTTCAGAAAATTTATGCAAATCTTTCTTGCCATGGTACTTTTCCTTCTTCTGAAATAAAAAATTTGGCGAATTCTTTTCTGATTTCTTTAGCTTCTTGAGAAGCATTTCTTGGGATGCGCTGTAAATCAAGTAAACTTCCCTTAGTTTCTGCTCTCCATGATCCAGGTGTTATTGAACCAGTATCTAAATCTTCACTATCAAATRTGGCAGGTGGTGTGTACATCCGTACTGACTATGCATTTCGTCTTAAAAAGTTATGTAGAGAAATGCAATCAAGTACTACATTTTAAACTTTCTTAGGGTGTAATGGAATAGGCTTTCTAAATACTCGGAAAACTGTCGCCAGCAAACCAAACACATTCTCAATAATCCGTCGAGCTCTACTTAATCGATAGTTAAACGCTCTTTCTTGGGAATCTTTTGGATATGGACCTGGGAAGGGCTTCATAAGGTTTGTGTTTAATGAAAATGCATCATCTGCTACCAATACAAAAGGAGTAACTTGGCTTTGAATTTTGTCTGATAAGCATGTCGGTTTTGGAAGTTTTAACTCATTGTTTATAAGTTTATTATAAAATGTTGTATTTTTGCAAAAACACCGTCAGAAATTCTGCCCTGGCATCCCACATCGGCATAAATAATACGATAGTCAGCATCTGCTATAGCCATCAACACAATACTAAATGTGCCATGATAATTATAATATACACTTTCGCTGTTCTCTGGTGCTTCTATCTGTACATGTTTCCCATCGAGTGCACCAATGCAATGAGGGAAATTCCATTTTAAGCAAAATCCATTTGCTACTTCACGCCAACCT